TTCTTTTTTTTTCCCTCACAGACAAGAATTCTCCTGATTTTTGAATGTTGCCAACTAATTCTAATTTTATTTAAACACTGCTCACTGTATAAACAATATACATCCAGGTCACTATACAATACGCATGTGTGGGCCACATCCGGTCAAGCCCTACATAGGTTGCATTTCTCAAGGATGGGTTCATCTGGTTTTATTCTTTCTGTGCCCCTCAGGACCTACCACGGCACCTGATGTGTAATTGGTACTCCAAAATATATATGGAATAATGAACAAGATAATAGGAAAATGAGACATACATATATTGACAATTAATATATATATTTTTTGATATCGAGTTTCACTCTTGTCACCCAGGCTAGAGTGTAATGGCATGATCTCTGCTCACTGCAACCTCCACCTCCCGTGTTCAAGCAATTCCCCTGCCTCAGCATCCTGAGTAGTTGGGACTACAGGCATGTGCCACCACGCCTAGCTAATTTTTGTATTCTTAGTAGAGACGGGGTTTCACCATGTTGGCCAGGCTGGTCTCAAACTCCTGACCTCATGACCCGCCCACCTCAGCCTTTCAAAGTGCTGGGATTACAGACGTGAGCCACTGCACCTGGCCTGAAATCCTCTTTTTTTTTTTTTTTAATTAAATTTTTTCTTTTGTCAGGTGTCTTGCATTGGAACTGAAATCCTCTTAAGTCTTGACTAAGAGGCTGGAGGATCTGCTTTCAGGGTGGCTTATTTCACACATACCTGAAAAATTGCTACTAGCAAGTCAAATTCTTTCCATATATGGTCTTTCTACACGTGGCCCCCTCCACAGGACGGTTGAGTGTCTTCACAACATGGTAACTAGTTTCTGCTAGAGTGAGTACTTCTAGAGAGTGAGACAGGAAGTTATCACTTTATCCCTTTTACAATCTAGCCTAGAGGGTCATATAGTATCCTCTCCATCATATTGTATTTATTAAAAGTCAGCTGTAGCCCGGTCTCACACCTGCAATCCAGCATTTTGGGAGGCTGAGGCAGGCAGATCACGAGGTCGAGAGATCAAGACCATCCTGGCCAACATGGTGAAACCCCATCTCTACTAAAAATTCAAAAATTAACTGGGCATGGTGGTGCGTGCCTGTAGTCTCAGCTATTTGGGAGGCTGAGGCAGGAGAATTGCTTGAACCTGGGAGGCAAAGGTTGTAGAGAGCTGAGATCATGCCATTGCACTCTGGTGATAGAGTGAGACTCTGTCTAAAAAAAAAGTCAGTTGCTAAATCCAGCCCACAGTGAACAGGAGGGGAGTCATCTTGCCTGAAGAGCTCTTAGAGACTTCACTAGAGGAGTGACCTGCCACAGGAGTTGAATTCTGCACATCCCCACCCAGTGCTAATCCAGACCTATTACTAGAACTGTGGTTCTCAATCTCAGCTGCACATTGAAATCACCTGGGAGCCTTAAAAAACACTGGATCCCATCCCCCCAAACTTCAGATTTAATTGGTCTGGGTTCTAATGTATTTATTTATTTATTTATTGCTTTTTTATTTTTCTTCTTTATTTTTTTTTTGAGACAGAGTTTCGCTGTTGTTACCCAGACTGGAGTGCAATGGGATGATCTCGGCTCACCGCAACCTCTGCCTTCTGGGTTCAAGCAATTCTCCTGCCTCACCCTCCCGAGTAGCTGGGATTACAGGCACGCGCCACCATGCCCAGCTAATTTTTGTATTTTTAGTAGAGACGGGGTTTCACCTTGCTGACCAGGATGATCTCGATCTCTTGACCTCGTGATTCACCCGCCTCAGCCTCCCAAAGTGCTGGGATTATAGGCGTGAGCCACCGCGCCAGGCCTATTTTTATTTTACTTTTTCTAATGTATTTGTTTATTCATTTTTATTTTCATTTCTTTTGAGACAGAGTCTCACTCTGTCACCCAGGCTGGAGTGCAGTGGCATGATCTCAGCTCTCCAACCTCTGCCTCCTGGGTTCAAGTGATTCTCATGCCTCAGCCTCCCAAGTAGCTGGGATTATAGGCACAAACCACCACGCCTGGCTAGTTTTTATATTTTCAGTAGAGACAGGGTTTCTCCATGTTGGCCAGGCTGATCTCGAACTCCTGACCCCAGGAGATCTGCCCGCCTTGGCCTCCCCAAAGTGCTGGGGTTATAGGCATGAGCCAACGTGACCGACTAGCTCATAGTTTTTGTACCTTCTTAATCTCCCTCGCTCTGAAACAGTTCTTCAAGTCCTTCTTGAAGAACTTTCATATCCTTGATATTTTTGGTGATTGCAATCCAATTATTTGGCGATAGCCCCAATGTTGGTTTGTCTGCTGTTTCGTCATGTCTAGAGTCATGTTTCCACAGAAGTGATGCTGAGCTCCCTCCTTGCATTCAGTCAGGTGGTGCATGACTTTAATTTGTCACATTAGGAATGATGTTTGCCCTGCTCACTTAATTAAGGTGACGTCTGCAAGGCTTCTCTGGTGTAAAATCATTCATTTCCCCCTTGTAATTAGATACATATTTTGTGGATACTCTGAAACTCTATAAATAGCCGGTGCCTCATCAATGTTCTCACTTATTTATATATATGAGTATGGACTCATGCTTTCCTATTTTATTCAAAATAGGGCTATACTTTCTTAATTTGATTGGTTCACATTGTACCAGATTTGGCCAGCAGAAGCCCCTTGATGATGGCTCATGGGTCCTTTTTATATGCCCCTAACATTCTTTTTTTTTTTTTTAAGACAGGATTTCACCGTGTTGGTCAGGCTGGCGTTGAACTCCCGACCTCAGGTGATCCGCCCACCTTGGCTTCCAAAGTGCTTGGATTACAGGCGTGAGCCACCATGCCCAGCCGCCCCTAACATTCTTTAAGCAAATCCTTGCTTTTGGTACAAAAAGATGTTTGGGGCTCATCTTGCATATTCCCTGCTCCAAGCCCAGGATCCACCATTTCTCTCATTCCTTTTAGGGAAAATGATATTTCTGGGTCCGAAGTGTACTCAAGCCAAGATTTGAGTGCCAGATATGCCCATTGCTGTTAGGATTCTGCTCCTCCCAGGCCCTCTCCTGTACAGCAATAGGACAAATAGGACACGGACACACACACACACACACACACACACACACACACACGTTTATATCTATGTATCTCTATCTTGCAAACTGTGAGTTCACACTGTTACTTCCAGTTCTCAATCCCAAACCACAGAATTTATGTTAGATTTCTCCCTTTCCATATTTGTAATTCACTCTTCTGATAGGGAGAGAACTGGCTTCAATTATTCTTTTCTTTTTTTTCAATACTAAGTTTTGCTCTTGTTGCCCAGGCAGGAGTGCAATGGTGCAATCTTGGCTCACTGCAACCTCTGCCTCCTGGGTTCAAGCAATTCTTCTGTGTCAGCCTCCTGAGTAGCTAGGATTACAGGAGCCTGCCACTAAGCCCGGCTAATTTTTGGAATTTTTAGTAGAGGTGGGGTTTCACCATATTGGCCAGGCTGGTCTCAATCTCCTGACCTCAGGTGATCCGCCTGCCTCAGCCTACCAAAGTACTGGGATTACAGGTGTGAGTCCATCATGCCCGGCCTTTTTAAATTTTCTATTTTGAAAGGTAATGTATCAAAGAATTTTAAGATCACTATAGAGGGCATTCATGTGGAGGGTCAGTCTTGTGTGTGGTCTCAAAGCCTGAGCAGAGTAAGGAGGACATACACAGAGCTGGGCAACCAGGCATAGCTGTTCAGAGACCGAACAGGATAAAGAAGGCATCCATGTGGGAGAGACTGGCCAGTTTGAGGAGCTGAAGCCCAAGTGTGTCTCAGGAGGGCATCTGGGCAGCAGTATTGGAAGATGGGTGACATACAGGGGATTGATCATATACATAAATGTATTAAGAATCACTGGAGCTGGGCAAAGTGGCTTACGCCTGTAATCTCAAGCACTTTGGGAGGCCAAGATGGGTAGATCACCTGAGGTCAGGAGTTCAAGAACAGCTTGACCAACATGAAGAAACCCCATCTCTACTAAAAATACAAAGTTAGCCGGGTGTGGTGGCGCATGCCTGTAATCCTACCTACTTGTGAGGCTGAGGCAGGAGAATCGCTTGAACCAGGGGGCAGAGGTTACAGTGAGCCAAGATCGTGCCATTGCCCTCCAGCCTGGTAACAAGAGTGAAACTCCACCTCATTTAAAAAAAAAAAAAAAAAAAAAAAAATCTTGAGATGAGATAATCTTGGCCCAAAGGAATCACAAAAGGTGCTTATAAGTGAAAAGGAGTGGCAGGAGAATCACAATCAAGACAGATGATATAAGTACAGAAGAAGAGAGAAAAGAGAAGATATTATGCTTCTGTCCTTGAAGATGGAGCAAGGGGCCAAGAGCCAAGGAATGCTGGCAGCCTTTAGAAGCTGGAAAAGGCAAGGAACCAGTCCTGCCAACACCTTGATTTTAGCCCAGTGTAACTGATTATGAACTTCTGACTTCTAGAATTGTAACATAAATTCCTGTTGTTTTAAGTATCTAAATTTGCAGTAATTTGTTACAGTGTCAATAGGAAACAGACAGTGGGTCAGGCATGGGTTAATGAATTGAATTATAATTGAATCCGGTTTTACACCTAGGTCCAATTAGAAAAATAGACAAACCTGGGCTTGGTGTCTCATACCTGTAATCCTAGCACTTTGGGAGGCAGAGGTGGACGGATCACTTGAGGTGGGGAGTTTGAGACCAGCCTGACCGACATGGAGAAACCCCGTCTCTACTAAAAATATAAAATTAGTCGGGCGTGTGGCACATGACTATGCTACTCGGGAGGCTAAGACAGGAGAATTGCTTGAACCCTGGAGGTGGAGGTTGCCATGAGCCGAGATCACGCCAGTGCACTCCAGCCTGGGAAACAAGAGCGAAACTTGGTCTCGGAAAAAAAAAAAAAAAGACAAAATCTTTGAGTGGCTCCTCACTGCCTGGAAGGTAAAGCTCAAATTCCTCAGCATGAAATAGATTCTTGACAACCCGGTTCTACAAGGTCCTCTCTGGCTTTAATTCCCTATCCCCAACCCAAAAAGTTTAGCCATGGGTTCTGACCTCCAAGCCCTTTTGCTGCTCCCGCGGACTCTTATGAGGCTCAACTCCTTTGCCATGTCTCTGTGAAGTCTTTCAGGTTGAAATTTCCTCCCTGAAAATGGACAACATGAGGAGTTGCTGCATGGTTGACTCTGCTTACAAGATTAGGGTTCAGAGGCACCACCACTTGCCGAGGTCCTCCATACATGTTGGCAGAACCAACTCTTAAGGCATTACTAACTGGGGCAGTTAAGTTCTGCCAATGGGCGGAAAGATTTTTCTTCATCGCCACTCTTCACTAAGTTACAAGAGCAAGTACTTTCTCCTGAAGGTACTTAGAGGAGGAAAAAAGCACAGCAGGAACTGTTGTGGGGGGTGAGAAGACAAATTCTACAGGGCTGCAGAGCTAGTGTGGACATGGCTTCCCATCTTCATGCATAACTGCGTTCCTAGCCCACACGACTGATGTCTGTAAACACAACCTTAGGTCCAAGGATTTTTTTTTTTTAACTCCAAGATTACGGGGGGAGTTGGGCAAGTCACCATAATGAAGGACTGCTCTTCTTACCTCACTGTCTGACGAGATACTGGATAGGGAAACCTCTGAAACTTGTAAAGCAATTTACAAGCAGGCCACCTGCTTGCATTCATTAAGCCAGAAATACCTATTTGCGCGAAAACGTGTCCCAAAGATTCCTCAGTCCCTCCGGGTCCCCACCAGGCCCGCGTCTCTCCTGCCCATCGCGTGAAGCGGCGGTTGACGAACGCCGGCCAGCGGTTCTGCCACAGGACAGCCTGACGAGAACCCTGGCTCGGACACCACGCGGAGACAGAGCGCTGCCAGAGCCGCAGTTGAAGAAACCGCTCTCCGGCTGGACGAAGGCGGAGCAGCAGCTCAGGCTGGGCCAACAGAAGAGCCTTACAATGCCTGGAGCAGTCCGAGGACAGCCCCCGGCGCGAGGCACTCTGGGACTTATAGTTCGCTTCCCAGACAGCGCTTTTTTCCCACTTGGTCTCCCCGCCTTTCAATGTCGCTTTTATTCTTCCCTTATCCTCCGAGCCAGCAGACTTCCTGGTCGCCGCACGTCCTCACGTATGACTACACTACCCAGAAGTCCCCTTTTCGCGTCCCACCGCGGGCGGGCGCTGGCGGCTCCTCTGGACTACAGGTCCCAGAAGTCCTCTACAGAAGTGCTTCCCTCTCTCATTTCCAGGACCACAATTCCCAGAGACTTCGGCTTCACAGCGTTTCTGTTTTTGCCCTATCTCTCTTGGAGCCGGCAGGGCTTTGGCTGGCCAGAGGCCTACAGCGACGACGTGATCCGTCGTGAGCGGGCCCCACGGCTTCCTCGGTGGCCCTTTTTTCTCTCCCTTCGGTCGTCCCCCTTGCAGGCCGTCGCGGCTGGCCTGAGCGGTGACCTGGCGGGCCGCGCCTGCGCTCTGCCCGGTTTCCTGCCTGGCTGGTGGCGGCGGCCATTTTGTTCATCCTCCTCCTCCTCCTGCTCCTCCTGGTTGGAGCGCAGTGTCCGGAGCGGGCTGGGGGGAGAGAGCCTGAGAGCAGGGTTCGGTGCCTTTTCCTCTGTCCCCAGCCGGTGCCCAGAGCCCCCCTCCCCTTCCTCCCCACCCCCTCCCCTCCCCAGCCCTGCCCTCCCCCTTGTCCCGGGATCGCTCCGTCGCACCCACCATGATGGAAGACGACGGGCAGCCCCGGACTCTGTGAGTACCCGAGACGAGGGGTGCCAGGCGCCAAGAGGCCCGGGCACCGCGGGACGCTAAGGGAGGGAGCAGGAGAGACTGGGCGGAAGCCGGGACTCTAGGCGGCTCCCTGACCAGGGCGGCGTGGACGCGGAGTACGTTCCTCATCTGTCCCCTTTTCCTTGGGAAGGAAATCCTCCCTTCCCCCAAATACAGTCACTTCCTGGGGTCTGGGGCTTGTCTCGACCCTTCTCTCTGGCGCCCTTCTTTGCACACCCTCCCTAGGCCGGGTTTCTGCACGGCTGAAGCTGTCAGGCCCAGGAGAGCTCCTGCACCCCCTCAGCGTTGGACGCCCTGGGCTGGGCCTGGAGCTGCGGGTCCCCACGGGGAAAGGGCCTAGCGGGGGTGGGATTGGGATGGGCCCCGCGGGCCAGGAGGAATTAGTACTCACCCTTTCCACGTCTCAGCTCCAGTCGCTCCCGGCTCTTCTCCCCAGCTAAGCTCTCGGAGGAAGCAGGACACTCTTCCACCACTCAAGCCCCTTCTCTCTTTCTGCCCCACGTGCCCCCGCCCACGCTGTCAGAAACACCCGCCTAGCGCCCGCTACTTTTAAAGTGCATAAGGGATACCTTTTGCTGCCCAAGCATCTTTCCCTTCTTGGATAAAGAAGTTTACTTTGAGCGCTCCCTACGCTAAACTGACAACCAGTTGTTAAACTCCTTTTGCTCTCTTGGTGTTGCCTCTTCCTAATCTGTTTGTGCATCGAAACCTTCAGAGTTGGCTAAAATTATGTCTTCATCCGCTATTAGATGTGTGTCTTCTGAGCGCTTTTTCTCCTGTCTTGCTGTTGCTTTTTACCTGAAGCCCAATCTAATGAATGAATTCCATCTTCCAGCCACTTAATTCTAGTTTCCTTCCTTTCTCAATGAAGAATGATGACTCAGCATTTGCATTCTTTTCTGGATAGTGTGGCACTCTTCTGCATTTTTTTTAAGTCTGAATAATTTTTGATTAAATGTTTACATTGGGCACCCTCAGTTTCCCGGCCTCTCCAGGCTCAGCACTCCTGCCTTGAGTACCAAGGAGTCAAATCACTGCTTTGTTTCTCTTGCCTCTCCTGGTATTCATGGGATCATAGTCCACTTGGCTCTGCTGTCTGATGGGAAAATTACTTTTTAGGGAATAGATGAAGGTGCATGGGCGCTCCACTTTCATCTAGTTTGACTAGCTTCACGTCTCTTCACTACTACCAAAGAAAAGATGCTCAGTAAAAAAGATAGATGTTCAATATTGATAGAGATTTTTTTTTGTGTGGCCTTGTACAGGAATAACTCTGTTCTCTAACGTCTCACTAAAGCATCTACCCGTTTTGAGAATTTGAGGCCAACTGAATGAAACGCCTGCTTAATAAATAGAACGCCTAAATTTGTGTTTTGTGTTGCCTTCCATTTCTGCCTTCTTTCCCTAGAAGGAAGAATTGGGACACACTTGAAATTTGTCCTTCAACATCTGTTGAAGCCAAGGCTTGGTGTTAAGTTAGCAATGTGTACTTTGATGTAAGCATCTGGGAAAGCTAGACTTAAAGACTAGCTAACATGTGTTTAACAAAGATAAAAGTTACATTGTATCTAAAAATCTGAAATGTCATCATCACATACTGAATGATTGATGAGTACTCATGGCAGGGGTCTCATTTTCTGTGTCTATCTGTTCCTTACCAAGAGGAACCTCTGGTTTTGTAGAGCTAAAGAATGTGCTTTTTCAATGTCTTTTATCCTTGCATCTGCCTTGTCTTCATCTCTATCAGACTTTCTCCAGGAGACTAATAAGCTAACTTCTTTGTAACTTATTCCCTACCTCTACCTTCTCTAATCTCTTCTTCTTTCTTTGAAACACAGTTATCTATGTTTACAGTTCTGTAAAACTGTACATGCGTTCATATGAATGAACAAACATCTTAAGCTCTGTTGTTCCTGTATGTCAATATGTGTTTACTATTCTGTCTTCCTTTTTCCTTCTCTCACTCTTTTCAATGGGGACTTTTTTTTTTTTTTTTTTTTTTAAGACAAGGACTGCTACATCTTCCTAGGTCTTACCCCTGCAGCACTTAGTTCATTGCCTGGAACATAAGAGGTACTCAATATTTTTACAAAGATTGTACTTCTTTCATTAAATTAGTATTAAGTTCTTTTTTAAAAGTCCTGGTTGAACAAGATTGTAGGCAGACATTGTCACAGGGGTGCAGTCTGTTGTCTTTTATATATTTTTTAAAACCTTCAGATGTAAAATCTTGAGATAAAAGCAAATGTTTCACAATTGGGATTTTTATTAGCATTTAAAACCAATAATGCATAGTAGTTTTTCTAAGTGTACGTTTTACATGTTCTTAAAAGGTTCTGTTAGATACAAGTAACATGATGAAAACTTTGAACGTGATTTTAGGGGTTGATATCTAGTAGGATTTTATTTTGTTTATGGAGATCTTATATTTTGCATTGTGAGCTATGGATTAGGTTATTCAAGTGGCCAGTATGTTTTAAAAGAATGTATTCTTAACAAAGCTTATCTGAAATTGTTTCCTTAAGATGCCTGTGTGTTACTAGTGAGGTTTTTTTCCTGCAGACACACACAAGCTAAGACATATGGTTCTATCTTCAGAAAACAATATGGTGTTTATAGCCTAGGTAGGTCTTTAAATATTCATTACCTACAGTATTACTTATTTATTTGATGGTATTTAAACTGGCATAGAATTGCTTTGATGTTGAGCCTAAATTTCTGTTTGTCATATAGTTGCTTTAAAGGTCTGTTTTCTGATGTTCTTCATTCTCATTTGACATTTATTTTGAGGTATTATGTATTGAGTAACTTGTGATCTAAAGAAACAAACAGGATCATGCTGTGTAATACTGGTGTTGGAACTGGACTGCCTGACACCTGCCTTGTGGGACACACGTTACAGGGTTGGGTTGTGCATAGCTGTGTAGTGCAGAGATTTGATCCATGGTATATCTGAATCTACAATATGACACTAAATTGTAATAGTGTTTCATTGTAGCTTATTTTATTTTCTTCATCTATCTGAAGCTCCAAAATTAATAGGAATTGGTATAATACCATGTTATGTAATCCCTTCCTTTAACGCTATTCTTTCTTCTGGAAGGAAATAAGCTAATGATTTAGAGTATAATCTGAACATCTAAGAGCAAAGCAGAAGAAAATTCTATAAAATGTTACAAAATTAACTGGCTATACCATGGATTTGGCTATACTGTGGCTATAATCAAGCCCCTCATTCAAGTATTCAACTTAATCACATTCTGTTTAGTTAAAGTGAGTGAGAGTGTGTGTGCGTGACTATCTCGTATATATAGCTGGTCAATTTAGTTGTACCTCCTGCAGCTATCTTCCATTATGCCCCCTTCCTAAAATGAAATACTGAAATATTGTACTGACAAAATAATTAATTAGAGATCTATTGAAGGATATGATTGCAAAACCTCTTCCTGTATAGGACTTGTCAAGAACAAAAGCAAAACTGTTACTTTTATGGAAATTTAGCTATAGTGTTTTGTGTGAAAGTGCTGATAATTTCAGCCTTGGTAGGGCTACTCTTTTCAGAGTGCGAGCACATTCAGTGTTGAAAAAGTGTCATTAGTCTTCTGAAAGGCATGATATTCTTAACTTAAAATTCTGCCCAGTTGGACACAGGAAGTAGTTTGGCAATGTGAACTTCTGCCTACTGTGAAACTGCTAAGTTTCTAGTCTCAAATTGGATTTTAACCCTGATGTCAGGGATAAAGGTGTCATTTTCAGTTTTTAATGCTTCAGTTCCTACAGTTCCTGTTCTTAGAAGACAAAATAGACTCTAAGGTATGCCTCTTTTAAATTTTTTCCTTGAGTTAAAAGTCATTTTGGAATTTCCTAAATGTTTACTCTTTGAACTGAACTCTCAATACAAAAACTGGAGCCATTTGTCTTTTTTTCTGTTATTTTGTGTATGTTTTC